CATGCCCAATGCGCGCGCACATTTGTATTTGTGCAGGATGAGATAGACAAGCATAGCCTAGCGCATTTCACACAGGCTGCTAGATTCACTTTAAATAAAGTTGTGTATGCTTGACATTTAAAATAAATGTTGTCTATAGTGAATGCTCCTAATATATTTGTTTGTTTCAAAAATCAATCATCAGCTATACAGGCATTAATATTGTATGTTTATATTAATTACATGTACTTCATAGAAATTCTTAATCTCTAATAACTTAATTCTGCTCTCTGTTGTCTGTGTTTCTTTGTCTGAACACAGCACTGTTCACATGCTGTGTGGTAATGGCTTTTGGTATCTGAGCATTTTAACGAGTACAGGAGCTCAGTATCGGGCCTGATATCAGTAAAGGTGCATCCCTACCATCAATGCAACAAGTTTATTACAGAGAGGGGTTCTATATCGTCCTCTCCATTGAACTGCTAAGTGAAGTTGCCAACCAGTAAGATTCAAGCTTTTGGTAATTTTATTGGTCTCTGATGTTACATAAAACTACAACTTGGTGGCACTTGAGCGTAAGTATTTTGCTAAGTGACCATGAATATCAGAGAAAGAATCCAGAACTGGATCTCTTTTTTTTCTGTACTTTTGTTCCATTTTGTTTGATAAACTCCATAGCAAATACAAAAATCTGAACAGCTAATTGAAAATATAAATAGTTAGTTTTTTTTCTTTCTGACAAGTGGGTCAGAAATGGAAAGTTGCGCATCACTTTGTACATGAGTATAATCTGGGGTGTTTCTGCTTTTTTAAAAGTGCCACCTACTGTCAGAGTGTGAATTTGCATTTTCATTCAGCCCTGCTGTTTTTTTGTTGTTGTTTTTTTACGGCATGCTAAAATTGGACCAAATATTCTTGCCGAACATTTGTGTGTTAGTTTGAACAGGTACCATTACAGCATCTTATTTACAGCAAACTTTCAGAATCATGAAAATCTAGCTGGTTGAAGCTATCATAAAAATTAAAAAGTTCTAATATTGTTCTGTAAAATGGAAAATTGATAGAAATGTTATCTGAATCTCTCATGTCTCTTCTGTTATCCATTTGGTAGGTGTGACACCTGCTCGCCCCACTCTCCCTGTAGTCCCTCAGGTTGGTTTGGTCAACCCAGTACTAGCATCCCCACCAGTCACAGCCTCTGCGTCTGCAGGAACACCAACATCTGCAGCACAAACACATACAGAAGTGAAGAGAGAGGAAGACAGCAGGCGGACTGAGGATCAGAGTGCGCCAGTCGGAAATGGACAGGACAGTGAACTAGAGCAGCTAAGCGTCAGTGCAAGTGGAGGAAAACAAACAGTCATGCAGTCAAAGGTTAGACAGCATTACCTTGGTTGGATGTTAAAGATTAGAGACACTATTGCAAATTGGTCAAAGTCATGAGAGTAAGTTAAGTTAAAATAATTTTTTATAAAAGACCTAAAAGTTTCATATATCTAATTTTTGACAACTGTCAGGAAACATTCAATGAACAAATAAAAAGTTTCTGCAAAGAAGCCAAGTTCAGAAATGTTATTAAAGGCAATTCAATTAGTGAAATTGTTGTCATTTTTTTCTCACTCTAATGTTGTTCCAAACCTGTAGGGATTCCTTGCTTCTGTTGAACACAAAAGATATTTTGAGTAATGTTGGTAACCAAACAGTTGCTGGTAGCCATTGACTTCCATAGTATTTTGTTAAGTCAATAGGGACCATCAACTGTTTGGTTACTAACATTCTTCAAAATATCTTTTGAGTTTAGCAGAAGAAAGAAACGTGTACATATTTGGAACAACTTAAGGGTGAATAAATTGACAGAATTTTCATTTTTCAGCTAACTATCCTTGTAATATATCATGTCAGTTACCTCTTTTTTCTATCTCTCTTTGCCCATATGCAGTCAACAGTTATGGTGCTGCGCAACATGGTGGGCCCAGAGGACATTGACGATGATCTGGAAGGTGAAGTGATGGAGGAATGTGGGAAGTATGGTGCTGTTAATCGGGTTATCATTTACCAGGAACGACAGGGTGAGGAGGACGATGCTGAGATAATAGTGAAGATCTTTGTGGAGTTCTCCGATGCTGATGAAATGAACAAGGCCATCCAGGCTCTCAATAACCGCTGGTTTGCAGGTCGCAAGGTTGTTGCGGAGTTGTACGATCAAGAGCGTTTTAATATCAGTGACCTCTCCGCATAAGACTGTCCTGAAATGGCCACTGGCCTTGTCTCTTGGCGCTCAAACTCACTCAGCTTTCATCACTGCTGCTTGAGATCCGGGCCTCTTTGAAACTTGTAATTATTTTTTTATTGATGTTGATAGTAATAATATTATTGGAAAAATCCCAATGGTGGGATTTAGTTTAGGACAAAAAACATGCGCCTCATACATTTACTTTGTGTCACCTACTGTGAAAGATTGACATTTTTAACAGTCATTATTTGCGGGGTTTTGTTTTGTAATTTTGAAGAAAAGATGCAATTTTCCCCTTTCCCACCCTACTTTTTTACAAATGGCAACTTTTTCCCACTGACATTGTGTTCAGACCCTAAACATTGTGTTGGTGACATTGGTTCTGGCTTTACCAAAACAATAAATTTCTCTAATATGCAGTGTTGTCCCAGTCTTTAATATGGATGGTTGGATGAGGTCTTAAGGCACTTCCCTGATGTACGTCACACACACCATTATACGCACAGTAGAACATAAGTTTAACTTGAGATAATTGCTGGTGATTTCGTACCAGGAAATGTTTGGAGTTTATCATTTACTGCACAAAATTAGCATGTGCCTATTTGTGTACAAAATTATGAAATTAAAACTAAGTATACAGATACTATGTAGAGTATCACTTATCAAACTATGCGTATGAACATTTTGACCAAGGGTTGAAACCAGCTAAAGTGCATGTTGTTAGCATGTTAATGCTGATTCATATTAAAATCCCTGTATGCTTTTATGTTTAGTGGGGATATTTTTTATTTGAGTAAGTTTAGATGCTTAGAATTCAGAGTCCCTTTGCTCTAGTATGTTCAAAGTGCTAGAAGCCAACCCAGCTGGCTGCTTAGTCATAACTCATTTACATACAATGCTTTCAAAGTGTAGTATTACATACAGTCAGAGTGTGTTAGAAGTGTATTACTGCTCCAGTCCAAATAGTTAGGCTTAAAGACATTAAGTGAGAAATTGATTTAAATTAAACATCAATATTTTAGGTAAGAATGATCTGACAATTATCTATATATCTGTCCTAACAACCACATAGCAACCATCCTGAATACCCTAGTAACAATGACTTAGACACACCCTAGCAACACCTTACCAACAAGAGAGACAGTTCTGTCCTTTAAACAAAGAAAAATGCCAATTAATAATAAATGTGTTTAGATTCAACTGCTCCAGCTTTTAAATCAACAAGTGAGGTTGAATTGTATTAAAAACAACTAAAATTGATAAAAAAAAGTAAACAAGCATAAGTTATATGATCCCCCAAATCATTAGTTTAATAATTATCTATAGGCAAACTGATCTAAATGGTTAGCAACATGAGCTTTTAACAAAGACACAATGCACCAGCAGCCACCCAGAACACCCTAACAACCACATAGCAACACTAGCAACTACACAGCAATCATTTCATCCTAAAACCTTCAACTCTGAGCTTTAGAAATTTTTTTAAATGTAAAACGGCTTCAAACGTCAGGATTTATAAAAGTATTTCACACATAAAACCGCTTCAAAATCTATATAGCTAGATATATATCCTTCCGACGTAAAGCTATTAAATCTACTTCAAACTTTATTGTCAGGCTTCCTCAAGTCAAAATAAATTTAGTTTTGACAAACTTTTTTTTGGTTTAATCTAGTAATATTTAAGTAGAAAAGGTAAGCCTTTCAGAGTTTAAAAAGTCTGATGGTTAATTGATTCAAATATTATAATAATCAAGAATACCAAATCAGAATCTTGAATCATTTGGAATCACAAAATGATTCTGGATTAATTATTTTCAATATATCAGCAGTCAGCACACCCAGTTTCTGTTAAAAAAAATAAAAGAGTTTGAAAACAAGCGGCATGGTCATACTTGCAGCAGAAATACTAAAGGTAATACTTAAGCCAACATGTGGGGTCTTTGAATAGTGTTGGACAAACGGGGGCCAAAAGTTCAAGTCAAAAAGTTTGAGAACCACACACACATACTTTCATTTGTGGTGTACAGGGACTCTCCATAGGCATAATGGTTTTTATACTGTACTATCGCCTTACACCAACCCTACACCTAAACCTACCCCTTACAGAAAACTACTGCCAATTTTTGAATTTCATAAAACACCGTTTTGTATGTTTTTTAAGCCTTTCGTTTTACGGGGACACAGGAAGTGTCCTCATAAACCATGTTTACGTTGTAGTTTTTATTTTATTTAATTTTTTAAATAATGCTTTATTGTCAACAAGTAGCATGTACAGTGCCATATCTCACTATATAACAAAAACATTTTGCATGCCTCAACAAGAAGGAACAAGGAAAAAGAAAAGGAAAGGGAAAAAAAGAGGGTACATAATGTTTACATTTTAGTACCCATGTCATTATACACATCTGTCTCTTTGTCATACACAAAGAGAGAGAGATCAAATTAGTTTTGTAGAATGTTATCTTTAAAGGCATTTCAATATTTGAAATTGGTTAGGCTACTTTAGAAAATTAAAGATAAGTGTACATGTAAATGGAACAAATATACTTGTCTTTGTGAACAATATGAACTAGTTATAGTATTGATAATAACTTCTTTAGAAGACAAATGAAAGAAATATCACATAAGAAAAAGGTTTTGTGTGGTAATAAAAAATAGCTCCAACCACACGGTTCTTTCCGCAGGGTGGCGCACGTGTATTAGCTGGACTTCATCGCTCCCTCTCCTCTTCCTCCAGACTCCTAGAGGTCGCCATCCGGAGGAATCTCTCACTGCTCTGCTGTGTGCGTGGAGTGTGAGAGGCGCTCAGAGAGACTCAAAACAGTGAGGCGGAGCTGGGAGTGAATCAGCGACTGAAGCCTGACTTAACTCAGAACCTCCACACACTCGCTTACAAGAGCAGGAAATTCCCCGGCAGATAAAGCCCAGGAGGGGCGTCGAGCGCGTCCTAAGGCTAACCAGCTATAGGAGGAGGACAGAGAGGCTTGTGACGGATCGGTCCGGACTCGATATCAGGACGGGCAGTAGAGGAGCACAAAGCCGGTGGAGTGTCTCTGGAGCGGCTGAGATCAGCCCAGCACCCCCCCCACATACACACACACACACACACACACACACACCCGGCCTGCTGCTCTTAGCCTGTTGCTGCTGTGATCTCATCATTACAGCCCTCGCATTTCTCAGCGACACACGCGTCTGTAAGTAGTTTCGAGGTGTTTTGTCTTTGTTTAGAGGCTGGCTTGTTGTTTTGTAGCGGTTGGTGGTCTACAGCGCTCTGCAGCTGGCTAATCAGTTAGCTGTAGCATACCGTCGTGTCCACAGCAGCCTCACGGGCACGATGTAGTTTGATTATTGGACCTCATTTTATTAATACAAGACACAACATGCGTGATAAAAGAGCGCGTGACATGAACCAACGAGTTTGGCATATTTAATCTCCGCTTCTTCTCCATGCTAACGCGGAGTCACTTAACGTTATTCCGTGCGACACAATCTCTCGTGTAATTCGACGAGGAGCTGTTTATGCTGCAAAACTGTGTACAGCACATAAAATGTGTGTTTTATTGACTTCACGTGGCTTATGTTGAACCGAACTGAATCTGCTGAGTAACTCGGCTTGTGTATGAGGAGATATTTAATGGAAGGCTGACTGGACTGATCATCTGGATGTCCCCTGCTATCATTGGAGTTAGTGTACATTTGCAGGAGAATCGTTCGCACAGGGACTTTTATTGGACTGGTTTTGGTGGATAAAGGCCAGGGAGTTAGACACGCCAGGACCAGCCTGGATCCCCATCATTTGGCTGCTTGAGTGAGTCCCCGATGCGGAGGGGCTGAGTGCTCCGGGACATGCTGAAGTGTATCCCGCTGTGGCGGTGTAACCGTCACGTTGAGTCCGTGGATAAGCGGCACTGCTCGCTCACTGCGGTGCCCGATGAGATCTACCGCTACAACCGCAGTCTGGAGGAACTGCTCCTGGACGCCAACCAGCTGAGAGAGCTGCCCAAGGTAAGACGCTGCTATTTACACTCATCTCTGCTTGCCATACAGCCTCAAATGTAAATTATGCATAGAGCTGTAGCTGTTGTGATGTTGACACGCATGCATGTGGTTAAACCATGGCTCTCGTTTCAAGGTTTCCCACGGTCATAGAAAGCTTGAAATATTAGGGAAATTTAAGTCACTTTATGTTTAGTTGTAAGATGTTTCATGGGCTAGGAGTTTTCTCTGTTGTGTTCTCTTGGTGTATTTGTGGGTGCAGTATCTATAAAGTGATTGAGGGGAAGACACCACCGGTGAATAGCTTAAATTTTGAATGAAAAGATATCATAATACTTAAAGGTAATAGTTAAAGGTATTTCAGGTACTGGTATTGCAGAGGGGAATACTGTCAACAGATAGACATTTTTAGGAATAAAATGTTATAGAAATCAGGAGAATGATGAATGAACAAAGCCCTCTGTAAAAAAAACAACAACTTGGATTGGAATAGAATTGGAAAGTTTTGTGTATGTGCTACTGTAAGTGCAACTGACCAGCTCATGAGGGGAAAAAGCTCATTTTGAGAAAACAGCCTTTAAAGATATATATTGTAATTGAAATCTTCAGATGCAATTATATAAAGTGTATTAAATTAAATGCTAAAATATTTGACATGTTTTCCTTTCACTAGTCTGACAGAAGACATGGTATGAATACAAAATAGCTCAAAATTGACCAGAGCATGAAAAAACATAGGTTTTGTCAGTAGTGTTTTTTTTTAAGTTCTTATCTAGTAATCGGAACATTTGGAAAAGTAATTGGAAGAGTAATGGCAATTTATTGTTCAAAAGTTGTGGGAATTATTCTGTACTGAGGTTGAAATAACAGTTGTCTATAGTACGTATTCATGGAGTATTTGATGCCTTGTTTGTCGATTTTGTGAGATGTTGCAAGCATATGCTCAGTCCCACACTTAAAAAAAAAAAAGAAGAAATGGCAAAATAGGCTGCTGTCTAAAATTGACAGTCTAGCCTCCTTTGGGGGCACTTTAGCATGTTACACATCTGGCGCTAAACAACGCTAAAAGCTGATTGCTTTGTCCTTTTAATTTGGATTTCCTCTGTGTTCTGTTAATGTGTGTGTGTATGAGAGAAAGAGATCCTGCTGACTTGGCTGTGAATCAAGTCCAGTAGTCTCTACATACAGTAAACACACAAGGAGTATTTTTTTTTTCCTTGAGCATTTACATCCGCTCATAAGAATCACGAGAGACTGTTGGTGGGTTGCCAGAGCTAGCGTTTCCTAAAGTACACTGATAGCAAAATAAGCAAATATGCTTGATTCAACATTAAATCTACTGTATGCCGTTGACAACTACTGCCCAGTCGTTTGAAGAGCTCTTCTGTAGGCCGTTTAATGCCAGGACTGTTAGCATAGCCTCATTGGCAGAAGACTCAATCTGTGTTAGTCAGTCTACAGTCAGCAACACTAACAGGGCTAGACAGAACGGCACAGGATCCTCTGACCATGATGTGGAATAGCTGATCCGAGCGAACAGATCAGGCCCTGAGCTTGGAGGTCTGTGTATGTGTATACTGTGTGCAGACAATTGGCATATGGCTTCCCCTCACCCTGTGGCAGAGAGAGAGTGAAAGAGATGAAAATTCAGGGCAGCTCATGTCTGAAAAAAGAGGTCTGGAGCATTAGAAGTGGTCGACTGATATGTCTCATACAGAGGTTTAGGGAGAGTGTTGGCCGATGTCCGATATATCCCTAATACAATTTTTTTCTTATATAATTTAATAGTAGGTTGGTTGCAAACACAATTGCTAACTTTAAATGAACACTTTAAACGGTTGATTGGCACTAGTTACAACACATTTACTCAAAGTTCACAGAACATTTGTTATACACTTTTTATTTATTGGGATCAGTAGATATTAATAGAAAAAGAGAAATTAATACTTTTATTCAGCAAGGATGCATTAAATAGCTCAAAGGGGACAGTAATTTACATTGTTGCCTAAGATTCTTTTTCAAATAAATGCTTTCCATTCATCAAAGAATCCTGAAAAAGTGTGTCAGTGTTTCACGAAAAAATATTAAAGGGGTCCTATTATGCCCTTTTACAATGTCTTGAATTTGTTTTGGGGGTGTACTAGAACATGCTCTCATGCTTGTTGGTTCGAAAAATGCATTAGTTTTCACATAATTAACATTATTACAATACCTTTCTCCCCATCCTGGCTCAAACGGCTCGATTAGTTCTGGGTTTGATAGGTTCTGGGTGTTTCAGTACTACCCCCCGCCCCTTGCCAAAGCAGCAAGTTCCGTCTGCTCCAGTACAGTTAAGGCTGGTGTCAATATTGCCATATCAATTTGAGCCGGATTCAGACCCCAAGAATATTGAACAAGAGAATCACGCAGAACCTTTGCACACACAGATATTGCTAGACATTAGAGTGGTAACGTTATTGTTGTTGTTTGTTTTTTTTTTGTTGTTTTTTTGCCTAAATCACGTTTTAGATAGTTTGTCAACAACCGCTTAAAAATAACTGCATTTGCAGATAAGTGCATATGTATTATGTTTATTGTTCTTTAATTCTAACATTATAACCAGGGGTGCACATAAGTGGTCAACAGGTCCGCATGTGCGACCAAAATAAAAAATGCGCTGTATAAATAAGTTCTGACTGCGCATTTGCGTATCGACATGGATGACAGCTGTTAATGCACAATTACCATTTTAGATCGACAAACTGTACTGTATAACATTTCTATTCAAATTGAAAGCATAAATCTAGGCTACCCGCTGCCGTTTTCAAAACACAATGCAAAACTGACATTTCATTCACTGACGCTCTTCAATCGGCAGCGCTAAATCCGGAAGCGCATATACTTACTTGCCGGCAACCCGCAAAAAATAAAAGCCTGCTGATTTTAAGGTCGAAAATGATGAAAATTCATATATAAAAAAAAAAAGTATATATTAGCACTTTATTTTTAAGTTTACTATAAAATAATTGTGTTTGTATTTAATACCCCCTTTTTATTCTAAAATATAATAGTATTATCACACGTTATTTTGTTTATTATTTTATTTAAAAAAAACTAATTAAATAAAGTGCAATAATATTATCACTATTATTCATTTCTTTTTTATAGTTATATTTAATAGATCACAATATGTCACACTATGTGCAGTGTGAGTACCAAACCAAATCTCCAGGTTCTCTTATGAGAACCAGGCTGAAAAACTTATGTTCACCCCTGATTATAGCATGAATTGCAGTGAAACTTATACAGTTGAATTTATTTATTTATTATTTGTGGCGGCATATATATGCAAATTAATTCTCTGCCAGCAGGAGGCACTGTTGGAGTGGTAGAGATCAAGGCTTCCTTGGTAACGGCTGTACACAAAGCAGCGCTCCGCTCACAAACGCTGCTTTATCAGACATTACATGCAAGATGAAATAAAAATGATATCCAATTTTCTGAAGACAGTCGGTTTCCTTCAGAAATAATAATCGAAGTGTAAATTCTGCAGATTACAACATTGTCCAGTATTGTACTGTCAGCAATTTATTATAAGAAACGTTTTCATAATTGTAACCTACATATTTACATAATATTCAGGTGCATGCGTAATAACTTGCGAAAACTTTATGCTACAGCAGCACTTCTTCTTCGTCGTCGTCTCGTCTGATGCGCTCACTCAACCAAGCGTTCTAACCACGACCTCGCCCCTCCCCACCCCCCAACCATTCCAATTTCCATAGGCGGGAATTATTTTAATGATATTCTAATGAGCCGCTTTGTGACATCGCAAAACCCGGAAAACAACGCTGTAGTCCAAATGAGCCGTTCGTTGTAGTTCTTGAAAAGGGATTTTTTAAAAACGAAATATCTCCCTTTGGAGTGGACTTTAAGATTTGTAAGTTTGAAGATCTTTTTTTATGACCAAACATACACACTACACACTGACTAAAATTAAAAAAGTGAAAGCATAATAGGACCCCTTTAACCAGCTGTTTTCAACATTGATGGTAAGAGATGTTTCTTGAGCAGCAAATCGGCATAAAAGAATAATTTCTGAAGAATCATGTGACACTGAAGACTGTCTGCTGAAAATTCAGCTTTGACATCACAGAAAAAAAACAATAAAATTAAATAAAATAGAAAAGTTATTTTACGTTGTAACATTTCACAATATTAGTGTTTTTATTGTATTTTTGATCAAATAAATGCAGCCTTGCTGAGCTTCATTCAAAAACATAAAAAAAAAAAAAAAATCCTTTTAATTTGGATTTCCTCTGTGTTCTGTTAATGTGTGTGTGTATGAGAGAAAGAGATCCTGCTGACTTGGCTGTGAATCAAGTCCAGTAGTCTCTACATACAGTAAACACACAAGGAGTATTTTTTTTTTCCTTGAGCATTTACATCCGCTCATAAGAATCACGAGAGACTGTTGGTGGGTTGCCAGAGCTAGCGTTTCCTAAAGTACACTGATAGCAAAATAAGCAAATATGCTTGATTCAACATTAAATCTACTGTATGCCGTTGACAACTACTGCCCAGTCGTTTGAAGAGCTCTTCTGTAGGCCGTTTAATGCCAGGACTGTTAGCATAGCCTCATTGGCAGAAGACTCAATCTGTGTTAGTCAGTCTACAGTCAGCAACACTAACAGGGCTAGACAGAACGGCACAGGATCCTCTGACCATGATGTGGAATAGCTGATCCGAGCGAACAGATCAGGCCCTGAGCTTGGAGGTCTGTGTATGTGTATACTGTGTGCAGACAATTGGCATATGGCTTCCCCTCACCCTGTGGCAGAGAGAGAGTGAAAGAGATGAAAATTCAGGGCAGCTCATGTCTGAAAAAAGAGGTCTGGAGCATTAGAAGTGGTCGACTGATATGTCTCATACAGAGGTTTAGGGAGAGTGTTGGCCGATGTCCGATATATCCCTAATACAATTTTTTTCTTATATAATTTAATAGTAGGTTGGTTGCAAACACAATTGCT